GTAGAGACGGGGTTTCACCATGTTGACCAGGATGGTCTCGATCTCTTGACCTCGTGATCCACCCGCCTTGGCCTCCCAAAGTGCTGGGATTACAGGCTTGAGCCACCGCGCCCGGCCATTTTCTTTTCTTTTCTTTTCTTTTCACAGGGTCTTGCTGGGTCACCCAGGTTGGAATGCAGTGGTACAGTCACGGCTCTCTGCAGTCTTGACTTCCCCAGGCTCAGGTGATCCTCCCACCTCAGCCTCCTGAATAGCTGGGATTATAGACACATGCCACCACACCTGGCTAATTTTTTTGTATTTTTTGTAGCGCTAGGTTTTCACCATGTTGCCCAGGCTGGTATGGAACGCCTAGCCTCAAGTGATCCTCCCCGCTTGGCCTCCCAAAGTGCTGGGATTATAGGGATGAGCCACCATACCCAGCTGAATTTTTTTTTCAAAATTTTCAGAATAAAAAGTTGAGGGTAGGTAGAGGATTAGGGTTTGGATAGGGTCAGTCTGAGTCTATACCCTACTTTCTTACTTCCTGGAGTGACTGTGGGCATTCAGCCAGAGAATCCACAAAGACACTTAGGATTCTGCCTGGAACAGGGTAAGCACTCAATAATGAGCTCGATAAAATGTTATTTTATTTTGAATTTTATATTAAGGTATAGAGTCTTGCTCTGTCACTCCAGCTGGAGTGCAGTGGTACAGTCATGGCTCCCTGCAGCTTTGAACTTCTGGGCTCAAGAGATCCTCTTACCTTGGCTTCCTGAAGTGCTGGGATTACAAATGTGAGCCACCACAGCTAGCCTTCAAAACTAATGAAAGCTTAAATATTGCTTTGTTGTGCTGTGCTTGCTTCTGCATCACATATAATAAAAACTGGAATGAGACAGATAAGATTAGTACAGCCGCTGTGCAAAGATGACATACAAATTCATAAAGTTTTCATGTTAAAAAAAAAAGAAATGCTTTGCTAAAGCTGAAATGTAATTTGCATATAAAACCAGGTACACATAACTATAAGTGTATGGCTTGGTGGGTTTTTTCAAAGTAGATTTGTCTGTACCCAGTGCCTGTACACCCTTAAAACTGATGAACGGTTGCCAGGTGTGCTGGCTTATGCCTGTCATCCCAGCACTTTGGGACGCCAAGGTTGGTGGATCATGAGGTCAGGGGTTTGAGACCAGCCTGACCAACATGGTGAAACCCCGTTTCTACTGAAAATACAAAAATTAGCTGGGCATGTTGGCGCCCACCTATAATCCAGCTACTCAGAAGGCTGAGGCAGGAGAATTGCTTGAATGTGGGAGGCGAAGGTTGCAGTGAGCCAAGATCACACCACTGCACTCCAGCCTGGGCGACAGAGCAAGATTACGTCTCAAAACAAAAACAAAGGAAAAAAAAAAAACTGATGAATGGATAAATACAATGTGATAGGCATATAATGGAATATTATCCAGCCATAAAAAGGAATGAAGGACTGACACATGCTATAATGTAGATGAATCTTGAAAACACTATGTGAGGCCAGGTGCGGTGGGTCACGCCTGTAATCCCAGCACTTTGGGAGGCCGAGGCAGGTGGATCACCTGAAATCAGGCATTCAACACCAGCCTGGCCAACATGGCCAAACTCTGTCT